TCACACACAGACACATACACAGATAACAAAAATATTAATAGTTATAGTAAAGATAAATAGAAATTGTATATGCTATATTTATTTCCCCGTGTTTTTGCTTCCTCATTCATTTTGTTTTTACCCTTAGAAATGAGTTTCCACATTAGGCATTTTTGTGGGATCTAGTTCCCAAGTTTGATAGGATTTCATTAACCATAACTAATTCATCGCATTTCAGTTATGATGTACGATAATATAATATATCATAGTGTACATTACTGCAGAACACCATAGCAATGGAATCAACTGGAGTTCCTTCAACATCGACGGAGTCTAAGGTTTGTCTTGTTTCGGCCTGTCTTTGGTTGTTTTTACAAATAATCATGCCAAACATCTCTTACATAAGATTCTGATATTTTTCATAATGGTTTCTGATATTTTTGCAATATAAAATATATATGTAAGAAATTTATATACAACTATATACATTTCTCTAATTTTACGTTTCGTAAAACATCAAACCAAGATTATCTTGATTTGTTATTTGGACATACATTTACCTATTTTCCCTTTTATGCTAAGAAATGGTATAATGTGTAACTATTAATGTTTTGTATTGATACCTATGTCAAATTTCCATGTGTTGGAAAAGACGGGAGCCAATATTCCATCCGGAAATTCTTCTAGTTATCCAAATTGGTGGCCGTATATGTCTTTGTTCCCCACACCAGTAATTGAACCTCTGGTATGTAATATTTTCCTTATTGTGTTAAAAGAAGTAGCTATCACTTTCAAATCTTTATTTGCTACTTAATTTCGCTTATAGAATGTGTATGTTCACATTCCATAAAAATATTTGTCATGTTCTTATAAGAAGAATAAATATGTGTATCCGACATCCTATTGTTATTCTGGAGAAGAAGTGTATCATCAAAGATAAAGGTTAAGAAAGAATTGAATATTTAATAAAAAAAAAAATACTTGAATACAGATTAAACATTATGTTCTAAATTATAGTACCTCAGTGGAGTGATTTATATTGAAAGAAAAGTTATTAAGGCATGTCTTATACTCAACAAAACTACAATAATAAAATAAATAATTGTGTATACCTATTTAGCACAAATTTTAACTTATCTTACATTCAAGGTATAAGTAGTTAGTGATAACAAATAAGATTATATGATATTAAAAGTGTAAAAAGAAGTGAGTAGACTCAAAAATCACTTCATTAAGAAGATTAACAACAATGCAGATTCATCAATATTATCTATCATTAGTTTCTCTTCACTGTTTTTATATTTTTCTACAATACAACCATTGACTAATTGTAAAAACCTCTCATTGATGAGTAGTATTTTCATCTATAATTCATTAAAAAGTCCTCTTCCCGATCATGAAAACACCAACTCTTACACATCTCTCTTATTCTATTCTAGTGTTACAATCAAGATTATATATTGTGGAACATTAATTATAAATTGTCAAAATCTATCAACAATAGAAATTTAATTACAGGAGCTACATTTATCCCCGGAGGAAAATACGCATGGTTTATCAACTACCATGATTGAGAAGAGATGGAGAATATTTTTTAGACTTCTCCAACGTAGTGAGCCCTTACATTGCTACATATTGGAGATGCATGAGGTACGTAGGCTTCAACATATTATGTATACAAGTACAAATTATTGTTATTATTATTATTTTGATTAATTGTCTAATTGTACAATAGGTTGAGAGCGGAAAGCTTACTAGGTATGAATCAACAGTCCATACACACGAAGTAACTACAAGGATTGTAGCCATGGGCGAACATATAACAACAATGCCCATGGTTCAAATATTTAACCCTGTCCATCTTCAACGAAGGAGCATGTTAACCATAAGTAAACGCTTAGGTAATTGGATCGTGGAGCAGCGCAAGTCTAACGATTCAGAACGCAGGGACAAGGTAGCCAATTTATTGCACTTTTTTACATTAAATCGAAATATTATAATCTACATCATATTTACTTATAGTTGACTCTTGAAAATTTTATTGCAGTATTACATTCATACTATTATGGGGAAAAAGTTCCGATCAATAAATGAAGTCATGACATTTATATTATGCGATGTCTTTGTTGAAGATTTGAAGATGGGATAAGGTAAACCATTAAAAACACTTAAAATATTTTGGCTTATCATTCACTTACTTGATTTTATGATGTAACACTTAATTTTTTTTTTTATTTTTCAGGTAATAGGATTTCAGAAGGTTGCCTATTTTGGGTTCACTATATCTATATATTTTTTTGTAAAATAATGCTTACGGTTAAAAAATGTTGAGGAGAATGTGAATATTTGTATAACTTATTTAATGTAAATTATTTATGTCATGTTAATGTTGTTTTATTAACACCTCCCATTAATTCATATTATTATTGTTGTAATGTAAATTAAGTAAAATGAAATTTGTGTTTGTTTGGACTGTTTTGATACTTATTTGAAGAGTGATATTACAAATTTGAAATACTTTTCATATTATCTATCTACTTGACCACATGAGAATAGATTGAGACAAGTTAATTCAGATGATAAAAATTTTAAAATTATTTCATTTTTTTCTTTTTCAATCTGCAATTTTATTTTTCTCCAAGTTATTTCTCTTTCTACATGTTTTTTTTTTTTTTTTTTTTTTTTTAATTATGCAATTTCCACACATGGAAGTAAAGGACTGTGAAAATGATAATAAAAAAATTAACCTTGAAGTTTATTCGCAAGATTTTTGAAAGTTAAATTATTGATTCAGCCTTTAAAAATTGAATGATTACACAATCATCCAAATATAATGCATTAGAAAAAAGTAATATATATTTAATGGTGAAACCACAACCAATATGAATAATACATTTACAAAAATATCTTTCCAATTAAATTTATTTCATCGTTAATTGACACATTTTAACTAGAAAAATATTTCGTATAAAAAATATTGTAGCTAATTAAATACTTTTTGTATGGACACATGTATCAATATTCTTCAATACTCGCAATTTTTGTGGAAGAGAGAATATATGGTGATCCTAACTTTGTATTTAAGCATATGGTTTCACACAAAAATCCTCTATAGCCAATAAATGAATAATATATGTGCTAAATCTGAACCCATGAAGCTCAAATAATTTCTGTCAGTAATGCTTAGTTCAAATTATGTCGTAAAGTAAATATGTTAAAAACATATAATATTTATTTTTTTAATATAAATATATTCTAAAAATTTGGAGTTTATGTATAATGGTTATAAAATCATTTACGTATATCGTACAATATTTTATTTAGTTTTTTTTGGAGAGTTACAAGTTATAAACTAGTTTTTTTTAAAAAAAAAATATATATATATATATATACATACATTTTCGACCAAAATTACTGACTTCATGCTACTTTACTAATTATAATTATTATGTATATATATATTTTTTTTGAATTGAATTTCTATGTACTAACAAAAAAATATATATGGTTAATGGTTATATGATTTATCTTCTGAGGAAAACATGTAATGAAGTAATACACGTCTATCATAACCACGATTGAAAATAAATGAAGAATACTTTATAGACTCCTGCAAAATAGTGTCCCAATATATTACTACATAATGAAGATAGATGAGGTACATATTTACAACATATAACATATACAAGTTCAAAGCATTATTATTATTATTATTATTATTATTATTAATGCAACATTGCCAACGAGGATGTGAGTAAATATCAGTCCACACTAATAGATGAATTGAGGGTTTATTTATCCGATAACGGACTATAGAAACTGAGTTTTTGTAGTCTTTCTATCATAAGATATTATTGTTTCTACTTTGAAAATAATAATGTAATAGGTCCATGAAAATCGCAAGAATTATAATTTCTTAAAAGTTAATCACTCCGCTAGAAATTGGAATTTATTTTAAGATTATTAGCAAATTGATGAAAAGATAACAGATTTTATTTAACAACTTGCTTTGTTAAATTAGTGGATTGAATATAAATGAACACAATTTATATGGGTTAGTATAAGTAAGCTATATTTTAGCTCACCTTGGTTTTGGGACCAGCTTTCAAATATTTGGGAATTTTTCCTATAGTCTAAAATAAATATAATCCACATAAAAAGTCTCATCCTTATTTTATATTCATATTTAGAAATATAGATAAGAGAAAAAAAAAATAAATAAATAAAAAACAATTGTGGGTTTTCCTTCAAGCCTAAAATTGACTTGCAAACACATAAAACTTTAGCCTCTATAGATTTTTTTATATCGAGCTCCCATCAAATTTTCGACCGTATCTATTTTTATCAACTCTACTATACACTATAAAAAATATCAATTTTGTAACGAGATTTTTTCGTTCTTAAATCTATTTTTTTTTTTACTAATGATATTAGAGATAAAATTACATTCACTAAGTGTATTTTAGGGACGAAATTCCATTATAGATATAATATATATATATATATATATATTTTAGTGATAGGCACCCCCTAAATCTTTATGTAGTACCAAAGTATAATTTAAAAACCAAAAATATAGTTAGAAAGCAATATACAAGTCATCAATGATTCTAAAGAATATGATTGGACTAACCAACCAATAAAAAAGCCCACTAAGCCGCGATAGAAAAGCCATAAAAAATTGACCTGTAACCTTCACGTGCTTGTGTTTAATGCTGGCCCCACTGCCAGCCTCAACGTCACGATCTCCACCGTACACGTGTCGGCCACCGACACCGTTGGCGAACCTTCGCATCCTTATAATCAATCACTCTCGCCACACTTCCTTCACCTTCCAATTCCATCGGTGGCTTCACCGTCTTCAGATCCAATTAGTTAAAAGGATCTCCCTCTATCGCCGCCACTCCACTGTTACACCGATTCCTTGTTGTGTTGTTGATTTTAGGGTTTGAGGATGTAGTTTTGGGTTTAATGGAGATGAATTAGTGATGTTGAGGATGGGTGGAGAGTGGTTTGCGCCAATGGGGAGAAGAGTGCCGCGGAAGGCGTGGCTTGGGTCGCAAAGCTCAATGGGATTACTGGTGGGTGGAAATCACACATCGTCAAGGTTTTGCACTCGCTAAATTCTGCTTTCTGAAATTGCTCGGCTTTGTTTCTCAATTTGAATCTGCGTATAATCAGATCTGTACGTTTTGAGTTTAATTACTGCTCTGCGATTTATATAAATCTGCTACTTTGAATTGCCTGGGAAGTGGTTACTCACTGAGATTCGATTCGAATGGATTTGATGTTCGTGAAATCGCACTTGCCTCGTGGCCTGTTGATGAGGCGTTTGGTGCTGAGAACGTCCATGCTTGTGTTGGCTGTAATGGCGGTTTCTCTGATGCAAGTTACTCGTGAGGTTAGGGTTCCGGAGCAGATAACGTTGGATGCTGATGAATGTCCTTTTGATTTGGACTCAAATCCTAATTTCAACCTCACAGAATTCCTGAACTCCGCCGCCTCGAGCTTCGCGCTTCCTCTGTTTATGGCGCCCGCCGGCGGCGACGGCACAGAGAATCTGACGAGAACTGTTTTCCAAGCTCTGATGGATAAGAATTTGTTGCGATCGGATGCGGCGGCGCTCTGTGTCGGGGAGAAATCTTCTTCCGCTGTGCTGGCATTGCGCCATTTAGGGTTCTTCAACGCTGTTGGTGCTGATAGGCATCCGTACTTCTCTCTCTTCAAGAGAGGATTCGTCTATGAGCTGAACTATGAAGACAATCACTTCGATTTTGTGTTTTCTGAAGATCTTGACAGAGTTTCAGTCCCGGGGCTCCTAGTCCGGGAGCTCGAGCGTGTACTCCGGCCAGGCGGCACCGGCGCAATACTTTTGGGATCTGGCAGCCGCCTCTATTCGAGCGCCGCGCTATGGCGGGTGGTCTCGATTACGTCGTTCTTGACAAGCTCCGATGTTCAGCATATTTGTCGTCTCGGATCGTTGAATCTGATCATATTCAAGAAAAGGCTCGGGAGTTTCGCCTCCTTCGAGCATTTCCAGCTCCCGTCTGCTTGTCCAGCTGTCGAGAATAACAAGAAAATGATGAAGTATATCGAGCCAATTGCTGACGAAGTCTCGCCTTACGAGCTTTCGTATTTGCCGAATTACATGAATATTTCGTCGAGAAACAAGTTGGTTTATATCAACGTGGGCGCAGGGGAGTACGCCCGCCCTACGATCGAGAAACTTTCTAAACCTTATTGCGGGGATCATCATACGGCGTTTGAGGTGTTCATCATCGATCATAAAACTTCTGTCCTGTCGTCGTATGTGACTGAGCCGAGCATCCATTTTGTGTACCATCCGGCCCTTGCGGGAGATGTTAGCGGCAACGGGGTTCCGGAAGTGAGCGCGGACGAATTTTTGAGTGCCCCCGTGGATGAAGGGGGGTTTGAATTTGTGCCGTGGTTTAAGGAGACGGTTTCGGATGGGGATTTCGTGGTGCTTATGATGAATGCGAAGTTTGGCGAGATGAATATACTTGTCGACTTATTTAAGAGCGGCGAGATATGCCGTGTCGACGAGCTTTTCCTTAAATGCTCTGAAGAATGTAAGAGGGATTGCGCCAATATATTCGGAAGTCTGAGGAAGAGTGGAGTGTATGCTCACCAATGGTAAGAACTACGTGATTGTGTTTTCGATTGTGTTTTATGTTTGTGTGTAATAAAGATGAGGAATGGCAGATGGAAACTAGTGTTCGTTATCTGCCATTTCTGTCTTCTGTGTTTTGTGCTCGTTCAAGTGTTTGATTATTATTATTATATGTTTGTGTGAATTCTTCCTTTTTGCGATTTGGGTGTGTTTCTTTTAATTGATTTAGCAAAAAATTTGGTTTGAGTTTGATATTAAAGTAAAGTTTGATGGGATGTTTGTAAGAGAGAAAAGTGCATTTGTTTTCGGAAATGCAGAGTCCAAATGGCGAAAAATCGAAGAGTTTGAGCTAAAGAAACACAAGTAATGATACTAATGATTATCTTTTAATATTTAAGTGGGATAATTAAAGATTAAAGTGAAGGTATTATAAGAAATTTATAAAAATTGATTAAAAAAAAAAAAATTAGGTGACAAGTAGAAAAGTATTTTCTAGTGATAAATTAGTTATTAATGAAATTATGAATGAATAAGATTATTTTCTATAAATGGATTGTGTATAAGTTCATCTGATAATCAATAAAATAAAATTTTAGTATTATTATAGGGGATGGATGGAGTATAATCAACTTTGAATGAAAAATAACAAAAAAATAATAAGTATACGACTGTACTTTATTTACAGTGAGATTTTTTATATTTTAGTATAGGTTGACAACCACATATATATCGATATTTTTCTAGAATAATAACGAAACAATAATTCAAAGTTTATTTTACTATTTTTGTAATTTGTTTTTTTATGATCGTTGTTGAAAATGATCTCTCTACTGATGCATCCCATACTAGGAGTAACACATAATTGCCTATGATGAATGCAAGTAATTTATTTGGTTGGGAAATTTTACTATAGATTTAATTTTTTTTCATATTTTAAAAATAGTAAATCAAACACTTATCAATATATATATATTACATCAATTTTTTATTATTCAAAATCAAAACTTCAAATGCTTAACCAAACACACCCTAAATGGACTGTCCATTGAGTTTAATGGTTTTTTGTTTCAACAAGTTTGACATAATATATGTTCATTTAAATCTTTTAAGATCCAAAAATTTCACATCACATTGAATATCAATATGAAATTTTTCAAAAAAATATTAAAAGATTATGAATTCTACTTCTAGAAATTCGATGGGATTGAATCCCAAGTCGCCACAATCGATTTTATCAAAAGAAGAAAATTGATTAGAAATGAGAGAAAATAGCATATTAATCGATTTTATCAAAAGAAAAAAAATTGATTAGAAAATAGAAAAAATAGCAAATACCTTAGTAATTCTTTACTTACCGCATTGAAAGTATATCGAACCTATATGAAGTTTTACCCTGAGCCGATTGGATCCATTGAGCAAATATGGGTTCGATCAAAATTTACTTTTCCGGAGTACCAAAAGCAATCATGACATCATTATGAACATAAAGTCCCATTAGTTTTCAAACTTTTGTAACCGTAAATTGACTGACTTATTTTCACAATAATATTTTCTTCACATAACAATATATTACGCCTCATATTAGGAATTTTTGTTTCATATTTAATCATAAATAATGTAGTTTTTTCTATGAGATCGTTCAACTTATTTTCTCTCAAATTTTGAAGATTTGTTTTAGTCGCATTGCCCATGGACATCCCATTTTCAACAACTTTTTCTATTTTCTACACAACCAGTAAGTTTATTTATAATCTCAAATATAGAAACCATAAAGTGTGCTACTAAAATAAAATCAAATGACAAGATAGTAACATTTTGAATTTAAATAATTGTTTTATGTGTAATAAATAAAGATTTGATGTGATATTTCGAATGTAAAATTAATTTTTAGTATAATATAAAAATAAAAAATATATATTAATTTGATATTATTTTTAGTAAAATTTTTGTTAATAGTAGCAATCAAAACAAATAATCCAAACAAACATACCCTACATTTACAACAATTTTAAACTATGGTCCTCAACAAGTATATACATTTACAACAATTTTAAAGCATGGCCTAGTTTGCAGGGTATTAGGTTGGACCGAGAGTTTATCCGGTGCGCAGCTGCAGATTTTCACGTCATAAAAATACCCAAAGATGGTGCTTGTATAATATAAGGTTATTTTTCTCGAACAATTTTTTTTTCCTTTTCGTAGACGTCCCTATAAAATTCAGCAAAGGTACAAACATCATTATATAGTTAACATCCTTAATCTTCTGAGCAACAAAACCTAGTGTCGATTCAAGTTGGGTGAAGCAATAAACAAAATAAGCATTTGAAGATTTATTAATGATTACAGTTTGCAAAACTATTAGTTGAAGGGTCAATCAATTGACAATTTTCAAGAGCATTAAACAAAAAATAAATAAATAAAATTCCGAAAATATATGTAAGAGTTTGAGAAAGTTATCTTTATTCAATGATCCTTCAAAATAACTATAAAAAAAGTACCAAAAGTATATGCAAGAGTTTGAGAAAGTTATCTTTATTAAATGATCCTTCAAAATAATTATTGTTCAGGACCTATATTTTTAAGTTTTAGCTCATTATTAGTTTTATAATAGTGAAGATATGAGATATATGATTAAAATAATTTTTATCTTTTTGGAGTTCATTAGTATGTTTATCCTTGATAACATTTCAATAAATTTGATAATATTTTTCTAAAATTTACAATTTGTTTTGTTTGCTCGTAACCCTGAAAAAGTTCAAGACGGCTTTGGTCGTGACGACGAAAAATCAACCCTTAAAGTGAAAGCCGCTTTAAGGATTCAATTGAAATTTCTAAATGCAAATTGTAACCATTGGTTGATTGCTTGTATTGCTTACAAAAAGCTCTAACATTAACACCAACAAAACATTTCTATCACTTGAGTTATCATTCTTCAACAAATAATACTAAAACATGCAAAATGTTGCAAAAATTCATTTAAGTTTAATTATGAATAAATATAGGATTTGCGGACTTATTTTGAGATGGTTAACATTTTATTTTACATGGAAGATAATATTCATTTGATAGAAGACCTACTGCGATGTTTGAAGTTTCTTATTGTGATTGTGATTATTTAAATGCACCAAATGAGAGAATGCTAGTTTCACAGTCAAATTACCTAAGAATATTTAGTAAGAATTAACATTGTATATTCCTATATAAGGAATTCAATTTTGATAGATTTGATAGAATTTTATTTATTAAATTTAAGAAACTAACTTGTATATAGTCTATTCTTTCTCCCATGTAGCCCATCATACCTCTATCTGGTACAAAAAATATTTTCTCATTCAATTTTGTTTTGACTTTTCTCTCCGGATTACTGAGCTTAATCTCACAAGTTTAAAGTTTCATATTTAAATCGATTCTTAGAATTAATTATTTCTAGCACTTAATTGATTATATCAAACAAATGAGACGGTCGTTTAACATCACAACATGAGGTCTCTCCTTCAAGAAACTTGTCCAGGTGCAAAATTTGTGTGCGGCAATAAATCCACCTTTTAGATCTTCAAGTGTAGGTAATGTACTAATGTAATGTATCATTTGTATGCATATAAATTATTCTCAAATATAGTGGTAAATTTTTTTGTGTGTTTATTAAAATAAATAAATTCAAATGTAAAGTACACATGCACACCACACAGATGCGGTGCATAGGTTATTGTATTTGCAGTATATATACTTCTGCTAATAAAACATCCCTCTCTTTATTCTTTATACTTTATATTCAACTTACCCGGTCGGTGCCTTCGCCAACATTTTTTTCATTCTCCGGCAGGTTCATTCATTATTCTTATTATGGTCCTCAGACAGCCACATTTTCATCTTTTTCAACAACAATGTTGCCCATCTAATTCGACACTTGTTCAGCAGCGATGGCTTTAACTTTAGATCGAGGGCCAGTCTTCAGTTTGGATGTGTCGGGAACTCAGAATTTTTGCTAATGCAGTGCGACAATGAAGATAAACATCTTCATGTTTTTTGAATTAAAGGGCATTATTTGTTCAAATGTTGACGAGGTTTGGTACTGGGGATTATGATTTAGCAGATTTTTTGTCACGTTTAAAGCAAAAGATCTATGAGAAGATTCATAGCTTTGAGAGAGATGCTTTTCTATGAGCACATAGTCGAAGATCCAAATGACTCACCTACCTTTTCAGGTCGTATCTTCAAAGAGGATCTAAGAACTGATGATCTACTTGTTAGAGTTACTACACTCTCCTTGCGCTCAGAGGAATGAAGGTTTGAAACGAGCATGATGATCTACTTCAACCATTGTTTTTTTATGGATGACGTTACTTCAACCATTGTTGTTTCAAGCTGTGATGAATCATGGGTATGGACGATGGCAGCAAATTTTCGATGACAAGGACTTGAAACTCCAAGAAGTGATCTGTCAAGAGCTGAGATTCGTGAAATTGTTTATGAGATGCCCGAGGATGAAAATAAGAATAGTCAGTGAACCAGCAGGATGTTAACTTAATTATGATCATTTGTGTGTGGTTAAAAGAAAATGAATTTGGTGATTAGTGGTAGGATTAATTTAGAAATAATAACCATCATTTGAACTACTTTCATGCAGTTTCTGTGTTGTGCATTAAGTTTGTCGTCGTTTCATTATTGTTTTTTTTTCTTTTTTTTTTTTCATTTGAGTGGATAAAGTATATACAAGAAAATCCAAAAATATATAGTGTGTCTGTTCTTCCTCTTTGCATATATCTTGTGTATGTTTGGTGTGATTTTTTATTCTAATATAGTAGATTACCGACGGATATCAGAGGTCCCTCCTTCATAAATATTGTTCATGTGCAAAATTCTTTTGTGGCGTAAATCATGTTTTGAATTTTTTATGTTTTGATTTTGTGGTATACACGATCTTGATACTTTGAGTCGCGTAGATTCGGTATATTTCGACCCTATTAACGCCTCGGGTTACACAATATTCGTACGGGATAAAACAAACCAACACTCGAATTTTGTAAAATTGAGCAAGTAAAAAATTGGAAGATTATTTGCGCACACAAATTAATTCTGCAAACAAGAATCTGCATAATCTTTTATTCTGTCAGAAGATAAGTTTTATTTAATAAATATCGAAGTGTTTGTTCAAAGAAAAGATGCATATTTCAAATTTAAATGCCAAAAGTTGCCAATTGGAAAATTGCAACTTTTAATTTCAAATCTAAGATATTAATTTAATCTGAATCATGAGAGTTTTATTTAAGAATTAATTTAATTTAATTCCTAATTTTTGAAAATAATAATTTCCAAAATATATCACAGTATTTAAATTCATACTACAGTATATAACCCTCTTTTAGTGGTGGGCATGACTAAACCATAAATCCACATACAAAAACATATAATTATTAAACACATCGTTCAATGTCGTAGAGGCATTTTCGAGCGCGCACCCCACGCGACCCTTCCCAAGAATAACTAGATACGATATTCTTTATCTTCGAATAAATCCAATAACAACAACATAACCAACAATTAGTTAGGTTTAGGTGAAGTTCAAGTTTCTTGGACATCGAAAACAAATGAATGAAGAAAAACTCAGCAGACGGTAAGATCCTTAGCGCAGCACTGCCTCCAGTCTTAAAAAATTGATAGAAATGTATGTTTTGAATACATTTCTCTCTTTAAAAATGTAGTACAACGCAGGGCAGGGGTTGTGCCATTAATGGATAGAAATGTATGTTTTGAATTAAATTTTTCATACTCTAAGAGATCTATGTACATTGTCGACCTGATAAATAAATGATGTAATCAATTTCTTTTAGAAGAAGAAAAAGGCAATAGCTTTGGTTGATTGTTGCAGACTTCGAAGGTTAAGCAGCTGTTTGAGGGAAACAGTGAAGCTTAATTCCTCAAGGGATCGGAAACAAAGGCTTTGTTCTTCCTATATTTTTTCTCGACACCTTTCCCATATATATATATATATATATAAATTATTCTCTCACAAAAATTAACAATCAACATAAACTATTATTTTTTATATTATACAAAATATATATAATATTGCGTAAAAGTGATGATATAAGACTTCTGTTCTCTAATTGCATTAGCATTTGCTAAGGTTTATTTTAGCCTACTAGGTACTTGAGCAAGATAAACTAATTTCAGTTACTGAACTAATATTACATCTCTGAAATCATTTTCCATGCCCAGGGAGCTCTTTTCGCGACCAAAAAATTAAATATTAGTTCACTAGTTACATGTTTACTACAATCTTTTAATCAAATTACGATTAAGAGACTGCTTTTATGAGAGGTCCTGAGTCTATCTAGTAGTATGAGTCTATCTAGTAGTATGAATATCCTTCGGACCTTTCTATTTAGATTATATTATGTGACTTATATTCGCTTTTTAACCTAAATTCACATGAAGCAATTCACGAAGTAGTTGTCTTTTATATATATATAGATATAGATATATATATATATATCATCCATAAATGTTGGCAAAATGGAGAATAATGGTACTTCATTAATTATTAAGTAATGAAATTTTTATAAACACTATGAAAAGTAAATTTATCTTAAGTGTGGGAAAATAAATGGGATTGGTGGCTAGGCACGCAACTCCTATCACGAGTGGTGCTAGCCGTCCTCCCGAAGCAACTTAGAGCTCTTACAACTTGAGCTCATCGCATTCTCAAACTTACAGAAAATAAAAAGATCAAATTTGGAATGATTTTTTGTGTTTTCTTTAATTACAAGTGGCACGCATCTACTCTTATTATACAAGGCCGGTCTTGACTTTCAAATGGCTCAGAGCGAGAAAAAAAAAAAAGAAAAAAACCAAAAATGTAAATAAATAATATTTTTTATTTATAAGAAAATATAAATAGTTAAATAAAATAATTTTTTGAATATTTTTAGATGAAAAATAGTATATTAAAAAAATTTCAAAATTTGGAGGCACCTAGAATTTGAACTCAGTGATTTGATGAAACTGTACATCAATGAGAAGTTAATTCAATAAGTTTATTAACTTTTCAAAACTTTATCGTTAAAAATTTAATCATACACCATCAAACTATATTATTTTATATTTACATATATATCAAATAAGTTATATATGTAAATTATACATATATAATATAAAAATATATAACGGACCTCTAATTTACATTGGGCCCTGAACAGGCGCCCTTTCGTCCAGCCCATAGCCGTCCTAATTTTTATTTATAGGGATGTCAACGGGGCGAATTTGGGACGGGTTCTACAGGCCTCGGATCCGTCCGCTATAAAATATTAGGCTTCAAGATCTGCCCCGCCCCATCCCGTTTAAGTTCAGCCCCAGGATCCGCCCCGCCCCAAACCCTTCGGGTTCGAGGCCAACTCGGAAAACCCGTTTGTTTAAATAAATATAATTTATTTTAATAATTTAATACAAAAAAGTAAGTGTTAAAGCGCTGAAAAATTTTAATTTTAAAAACAAGAACAATCAAATGTTTGTAGTAGTTCGCAGTGATGGCGGTCGAAGGTAGACGAGACAAAATTTTACAAGAACAATCAAATGTTGACAGTTGTTCGCAATGAAGGTGGTCGGCAGCAGACGAGGCAATGACGGTAATCTGATTGTGAAAAAAATTAAGAAACAAACTCAAACACAAATTTAATTTAGAAATTACATTCTGGTTTACATTTAAATTTTTTAAATAAATATGTAATGTAATTTATATTTATATAAATATATATTAATTCTAATAATTATTAAAATAGCTGAATTCTGGACCGGGTCTTGTTTTGAACAAATTTTTAGTAAAATTCGTAATCTGTTCCGAACTCGGCTGATTTTAAATTTTAAAATCCACAACCTTTTCCGAACATATTTTTAGATCCGAACCCGTCTCATTAAAAACGGGTCCGGGCAAACCTACCCCATTAAACATCCCTACTTTTTTATTCTTTGGTATTTATATCTCTTTAATATTTCCAATCAAAAAAATTGTTACACACACGTTTATAAATTGGTGATTATAACTTTTTATTTTCATTCTAATTTTGATTTAATATGTAGTTCGAATAATAATAATAATAATAATAATAATAATAATAATAATAATAATAATAATAATAATAATAGATCTGTTTCTTTAAACTTAATTTGAAAAATAAATATGAATTTAGATTTTAAATTTAAATAATATTCGACGAAATGCTCTGTAAAAAAACAAATATTGTTTTTTAAAAAATTAAATTTAAATAGTAAAATTAAAAAAAAAAATTGTGGTTAAAGAATTACGAAAAGAGCAAATTAAACGATATATATAGAGACTTCGTAACCGACTTGATTGCGTGCGTAGAAAGGAGAATTCCATACTGAATTACCTCACGCCGTTTGTATGACCGTTATAATATGCGCCTAATGTTTCTGTACACACCTTTAATGGGTTGGGTTGGGTTGGGCCCACTTTGTAACCAATTCCTTTTAAACCTCTAATACACCCTCCATTCCTTTTTATATTTTCTTTTGTCCCATATTTATTATCTATTTATTTTTTATACAGAGTTTTAAATATATTAATATTATATTGAGACGTATAAAAAATAAAAGTAAAAAAATTAATTATCTTTAAATGTAATGACATTTTTGTAACATATCGTAAATTGAATACAGTGTTATGAATATCTTTAAATTTAAATGTAATTATCTTTACAATGTTAATAATACAGTTATTAAAAAAAAATGAATATTTTGTTATGTGAGAAACCAAAATAGAAAAATAGATAGATGAGACTGCATATTTTGATTTAATTGGACGTACATTTGATTAATATAATACGATTATTTTGATCGGTTAACATAAAACATGAGAATTTTTGTAAAAAAAATATATGAAAGAATAATAAAAAGTAGAAGGTTGGATGAGATAAATTATTTCACTTTTTTATTTCGAATGAAAAGCCTTTCCATTTGGCATTTATTTCTCCCTTTCAAAACACCTTATAGATAAATAAGACTACTCTAAGCGCAGGAAGCTTCTACAGCCAAGCTTCTAGAAACTCCACAAGCTTCGCCCAACGTCGTACTCGAAACACCAATGCTACAGCTCCTCGATCCTACACAGGCCTGTAATAACCAACCAAACACATTACAACAAAATTGGGCCCAACAAAATCCCGAAATTTACGATCGAAACCGAAATCGAAATCGAACCGAATCGAGCCAAACGGTACCTTTCGAACGACCGAAAGAGCCCTCTTGCTGCGGCATTCGCCATGGCGGAAACTTCCGCACGCGCCGCGCGGCGTTCCGAAGCTCGCAAACTTTATCTTCGAAATCACCTGATCAGGCGACGGACACGTCAGCGAGAGCGTCGATCGGGTTCGGTTCCTGATTTCGTCGTCAAGACTCCACATTTCGACCGGGAGCGGGTGACTCTCCGAAACGTGAGAGCAGACGCTTCTCGTCTCCCGCGCGACGAACGATAGTTTCGTCGGATCGCCGCCCGCTTCCTCGAATAGTACGAGGATGTTCCCGCTCGGTTTCAACCACGAACGGGGCACGTGGTAGCTGCAACGCGCGAATTATTACATTGCGAGATATATCAAATCGGAGGAGCTTTGGTTCGAGTTCTTACATGTGCTGGGTCGGCTTTCCGCAGTTTGTCAAGCATTTATCGGCCTTGTAAGGTCCGCGGTAATTGCAAGAATCGGTGCAGCTCCCCCCTGATGCAATGTTTGTCGGCCAGTAACGTCCGATGCTTTGTCCGTTAACCCATGCCTGACCCTTCCCCATTCCCGTAAAGTCTAACGCAACCGGGTTGCTTCCCGTCGGGGCATCAAACGTGGTCTACACGAATACAAAAATACCGTCGCTTTCGATTCCATTGAAAATAAATTATAAAAATTGAAAAATTGCATTGTTTTTATCATAAAAATAAAGGAAGATTCAAATCTAAATCTACTAAATTTTAAATAGAATAGCTAAAATATTTCAACACGACCAAACTATACGTCGAATCACCTTGTACCACACCAATGGCTGATTCGTGGGAAGCGTCGGCTGCGTTACCCAAATCGACGAATCTCCGTGATAAAGCTTTGAGTCTTCTCCCTGCATGCCAATCTGCTTCCAAACGACGAGCATAATCAATGAATTTATGTATCTATATCGCATCCGATGAATGTCGATTCTTAATAGATGACCTGATACGTCCACTGTTGAGAGGATAGATCGATCAACAGTCCGTTTTGAGAGCTTTTGAGCTGAACGGGGCCAGTGACTCCTGCTCCGACTGTATCGAAAAATGCTCCGTAGTTCTGAAAAGAATCGAACTTTACGTAAGAAAAGAGCTTATAAGACTGATAATTTTTGTTCATATGTTCGTCGTACCCTTAATCCTACTGTCATGCTCAACAGATCGATTTTCGTATTCCCGGGTTGAATACTTAGAGGAATATCGATCGAAACTTTCTGGTCGCTGTTCCGTCCTTTTCCACTGCCGACGAGTTTCCCATTGACGAACACGAAAAGGGCATGACCAAGAGAATCAATGTGAAGGAGTGTCTTAGATCCGTCTTTGATGAACGTCTCGTTGCCATTAATCGCGGCGCTGGACACATAACAAAATATTACGATCTATCAACGACGTGTGAAAAGAAAAGTCGATCGAAACCGTGGCAGCTCTTATACCTTAAAGAGTACCAAAGATAGTCGCTTTGATCGGCTGTCGTGTTTATTTGTTCCTGCAATCCCGGTTTCGTAAACGCATTTTTATTAGATATTCCGACAGGTTCGACGATCCAACTCCAGCCCGACTGGAATCCATCTTTAGCCTCTGCGCGTTCTTTTGAAGAGTAGCGAACGAACTTTGGGACAGTCGAAATAGCATTGATCTGTCGTGCGACATATAAGTATCGATTATTCGGTTAAAACATCAATTCCTAATCGAAAAGAAATCGGTAAACATACTTTCGCAGTATTGAGTACGACATTCTTGCAGTCGGGTAAGATGCTAACAGACCAAGCTGGCACCGTATACGAATTGCCATTGAAGTTTACCGTCGCGTCGGATTTTGTTCCAATGTTTGCAAGAAATGCAGCGGCGCACCGTCCCGATCCCGTCTTGTAAACAGTCACCTGACATAAATCGACATTTCAGAACAAAAACGATACAACGATAATCGAGGGTACGATGGATTATACCTCCAGATTAGGACTGGGATAACTCGTTGTTGGATCGGTCGCCAATATCGCTGCTTCGCAAAGCTTTATCGCTTTATGGACATCTCTCAAGTGACCCCATTTCGGCTGTCTCAAAAGTCCTGAATACAAAACAGAAACTTTCATTACACGACGACAACGGAATCAGCGTGACGTTTTGGTTGGCTAAGACATACCGTACTCGTCGATAGGAGCGTCGTAATCATAGGTTGTCGTAATAAAAGGACCTCCAGCACTGCGGCCAAAGTTAGTCCCGCCGTGATACTGCCCATCATATACATTAAAAATCTCCTTACAACTTCATCGTTTCAAATCGTATATTTATGTCTAAAACAAAATAATATTACATGGTACCATGTAATAGTTCTGGAAGGTTCCCCCGAGTTGGAAAAACCGCGCCACGGCGAAAGCGAGGTCTTCGACTGGTCTGTATGGGAGAGGATCACCGAACGAAGAGAACCTGAATAATTACATCAAACACCTAATCAGTTCCAAAGAAATTTGAATCGAAGCACGAAAGCATCTTTACGAAATCGAGAAATCGAAAGATGTACCATCCACTCCAATTCTCCGTCCACATTTTCGGCTTCTTGTTCGAATTCGGAGTGAATTGGTCGCAGTAAAAGCCATTACAAGTGTTGATCTGCAATCACAACAAGAACACAATTCATAAAATGATCGAGCTTTTTAAACAAAGTTTTGTGTTCTTTTGTGGGGTTTACGACGGATCTTTACTATTCAGATTCTTTTTTTTCCTCAAAAAATATCACATTAAACAATTACTTTTCATTTTTTATATTATACGACAAGTTTATTTTACATTCGAAATATCACATCAACCTCTATTTATATCACATTAAACAACAACTATTCAAATTCAACTTTTTACTATTTAATAATCCAAACCCAAAAATTGAAACTCACAAACAAACACAAAAGGTTTTAAGATATTCGGCTCACAATAGGATCGGGAGCATCGTTTTGCTGGCACATCACCCACGGCACGCCAGTATCCAGCGACGTAGCCATTGCTGCAGCCCAGTTTATGTAAGGCTTGGCACTGCTTCCATACGCCGATTGAACATTCCCGTATTCATTTTCAACCTAGAATCGAACAAAATAGATTGAATGCCGGACATATATATATATCAATCACTACCAAATACTACATTTGCATGATTATACCTGCGACAAAATGATCGGTCCACCTTGCGAAGCATACAAATTTTCTTGCTTCATCAGGTCGACAATCTTGGCTGTAAATCTCTTCATTTCAGCCTAAGACAGATCATAACCAATCTCAGCAAGCGAACAATCCCGAAAGGCGAAAGTGAATAACCAAGAGGTGTAACCTTGAAGGGTTCATTGTCGGATCGAAACACAATCCCGGGGATAAAATGCAGCCACAGGGGAAATCCACTGATCAAATGAAATGATGAAATTAATGATGCATAGATACTTGAATCTTGTCTATTTGCAGAAACAATGGAGCAAGATTCATACCCATAACTCCATTCGGCACAAGCATAAGGACCTATTCGAAGATGAACTAATAGACCTGCATCTTGAACAACTTTCACAAACTTCACCAGATCATTCCTTCCTTCAAAATCATACTGCAAAATTCACTTTCAAGCATCAATATCTGTTTTTCTAACCTAATCATTCTGGTTTATCCTTTTTCTCCCATGGATTTGTTTAACAGATCTTCTATTTGGAAAAAGCAAGCCACAATGATAATAAAGAATGTCATCCAAAAAGTGAACAGAGTTCATTTTCATAATTTCATTCCTTTCTTCTTCTTCTTCACCTTTCTTCAGAATTAGGTCAAGAATAGTTAACCAGGGAAACAGGGGAGGGAAGAATCAATGGAGAAAAAATGGAAAATTGGGGAAATCACCTGACCGCGAACTGGTTCGTGGAGGTTCCAGAAAACGTAAGTCTCGATCACATCCAAGCCTCCTTCCTTCGACTTCTGAATCAAGTCTGGCCACATCTGAAATTAGCAAGTGAAAATCAAATCACATTTAGAAACAGATACAGACATAGAAAGAAATCACTGCAATTTTCAGTTTCAGGTGAGGGAAAATAGAGAAGTATGTATCCATGAATGTATGTACGGACTTCCGGTGTGCTGCGAGGATAATGAATGGAGCCAGAAATTAGGAGCCGTCTCCGGCCGTCAATCACCAACGCACGGTGATCGTAAGTCACATTGGCGCCGGAGCAAAACGACGTCGTCAAAGCCAATAGCAGAAGCAAACCCAAACCCACAGCACTTTCCCCCATTTCAATGGCGGCAACTCCTCCAATCTCCCAATCCAATTGCCGCTACTTATAAGCAAACCTACAACCTTCAGAGAAAGATAATCAGATTAAATGTTCCTTGAATCCACTGAATTTCTCCTCCCTTAGGGAACACACCTTTCTCAGCCTTGCAAGCAAGAACAAATCCAAATTGATTGGAAGACGATACTAGCTGCGATGGTTCGTTCTTCTATCCGGTGAGGGCAACAGAATGATAACGATAGGGGCGCGGCGATAAGGATGATGTTGGATTTTTACAGGTGGCCATTAAAGTTAAACCCAACTGCGAACTGCATGTTTGTGTCGGTTCCGCCATTTCCATTTGTTTGTTTTCTTCCCATCGACCCACCCACCCCACTCATGATATTGCCATTAAAAATATCTCATTTTTTCCTAAGATGGTGAGGTATCGCGCGGTGGTCTGGACCGATGCTCTGCAGTGATGGCAGACATATACATACAGTAAATCCAATGCTTGTATGGTGGGCCCCACGCGCGGATACGACGATTTGATTTGTACTGAGTACTTGAAATTCAACTTCTTTTGAGACTTTAGGTATAGTTTCGGTTCGGTTTGGTCATCGTTTCATACTGCACTTTACAGGAAATTCAAATCTTTTTATTTGATTTGATGGTATGGTTGTTTTGTAGGAAGGTTAAAAAAGAATTATTTATATATATATATATATATTTATGTTAAATATAAAAAATTGCGTAGTAAATATAAAAATAATAAGTACGTGTAGTAGTATATTAATATTTTTAAAAAATATAAAAAATATGAAAAAAAGAAAAATGATGGAAAAACAAAGTTAATTTTTTGATTTCTTTTGAAAAAATAATCATACTCCTTCCTATTCAAATGAAAAGGTTTTTCGAAATTTTATAATATATTAATAATAATAATAATAATAATAATATTTTGTTAAACAAAGAAAATACATAAAAAATTTTGACATTTTTTTTCTTCTTTTGACTACTTTTTTTTTAAAAATAAAAAAATAATATTTTGAGTGAACCAATAAAACTGATAAAATAGATATTTTTACTTGGGGGCAAAATAGCATAAAATTCCTGTGGTTTGCCAAATTTGTTGAAAATCTCCTGTCGTTCAAAAATTCCATAAAATTTATTTGTGGTTTCTAAAACGTTGCACACGCCCTTTCTTTTTAAATTGCATTAACAGTGTTAAATTTTTACATAGAGTGACCGTTATACCCCAATCTAAATTCTCGTTCTCTCTCTGCTCTATTAGTTTTCTCTCTCCTTCCCCTTCTCCTTGAACGCCTCATTTTTCTTCCCCTCCCAACTCATACCATCCACCATTGTTTTCTTCCTCCACCACCACCGGTGCTCAACCACCGTCCAGCCTCTTCGACTATGCGCCCAAACGCAGCTGACGCAAACTGCTGCATCATTGTGATTTTAGCCACCACAGCTACCTTTTTCAACCTTTCAACCGTCATCACAGATTATCACAATTTCAATAGTTTACCGGACGCCACATCGCAGTAGCACCGCCGTCGACAACCGCTGGCCACCCACGCTACCAAGCCAGCACCGCCACAGTTTTTTTTTTGTTTAATTCAACCCTTAATTTTAGTTTCCGCATTGATGGTGAAGAAAAATCGTCCCGTTCTTCATTCTTCCCAACACAAAAACACAATTGCAAACTCACTTTTATGAGTGTATTGATTTTTTTTAATTTTTTTAATTTTTTAGTTTGGTATTTTTTGTTTGGGATGTTGTTTAATTTTTTTTTATTTTTATGAAAAGAGAAAGAATTTGTTCTAATTTGACAGCCACCGCCGACCACCGCTCATCGCCGTTCAATCGCCGCTGTCTGTATTCACCCCGATTTTCCACAGCCTATCGCCTAGGACATCAATCATCTGTCATCTTCTGTTTAGGAGAAGAAGAAAGGTGAAGGAGATGAATATAGGTGTATTAATATCTAAGGGTATTTTTGTAATTTCACACAGTAATATATCAATTTCTAAAAAAAAATATATATATATATTGCAATATGAACGCGTGAGATGCAATCGCCTTTAAATCCTAACGAAGGAGGGATTTTTTGCAACGTCTTAGAAACCACAAGTAAGTTTTATGGAATTTTAGGACCACGGGGGGTTTTTAGCAAATTTGGGAAACCATTTTATATGCTATTTTGCCTTTTTACTGGGGAGGAAGAAACTAAAATATTATTTTATTTTTTTAGTATTGATATATATATATTTGTATTATGTTTATATTTTATATTCTATAAAATTTTATTTTTTATAATGTATATTGATAAATATTTTAAAAATAAATTATTTTGATATGAATATAAATATTTATATATTTTTTTTAGTTGGAAGCAAAAAAAATATAATGACAAAGAAATAAGGTATGATATGTAGGGGGGAGATATTCTTTATGAATATCTTGATTGCAAATGATTTTACATTATCGGGGTGTTTGACAAATAAATTTTTAGCTTATTGAACAGTTAAAGCTGTTTGATTAGTTAAAACATTAATTTAGGTGTTTGGTAAATTAGTTTTTTGAAATAGTTTTTTGGACAAAAAAAACTAATTTCTGAAAAGCTAATTTACCCAACATTTTGATTTGTGTAAAAAAAATTTTATTCCTTATATGCCCTTAAAAATTTTACATTATAAAATACTTCTTCCGTCCCTTAATAATCTATCCATTTTTTTTTTCATTTTGGTCTATTTCATAACAAAATAATTTTTTTTTTTTTTTTATAATTGTACTATCTAGTTAACATTACAAATACCCTTCTAATTTATAATATATTATACAAAAAAATGTTATTACTTTTATATCATACTATATTAATAAGATTAATTTAGTTTTTTTACCTTTATTTTTACTATATCCCAATATAATACTAATATTTTTAAAATTTTCTAAAAAAATAAATGAATAAATAAATATGACACGGACCTAATATATATATATATATATTTTTTGAATGACGTGGGAACCGCAGCCGCTACCCGAAAGTGAGCACTGGATAAACCCCGGTCAAACCTAATACCCTACAAATCAGACTCGACGAAAAAATCACATTAGACAAACCATATATAACAGAGGATGTAAGACGTCGGAGGTTTGAACCATTGACTTCACGGTCAAAATATATATATATAATATATTTTCGTATGATTCCGTTAGTTGTGCCACGTAAACGTACGTATGTAGCGTCAATGATGGTCATCAAGATAAGCATGGGAATTGAGTGGTTCGATCATTCAATTTATATGTACGCCGTGCCGACAATTGATGTTATGTCTAAATAAACTGTTATATTTCTTCTGTTCTAAATAATTTGTTCATATTTTTTATTTTTATCTATCCTATATAATTTATTATTTTTTTTAATTTATAATTATTTTTACTAATATATTTTTTAATTACTTACTAATTAAATTTTATTTAAATTTTCGTATCTACAGTAGTAGATCAATATTATCTGGGATGGAGAGAGTATATCAAATAAACGACAAAATTCACCCATTATATTATATTATATATATATAAACTATTTTATTCCATTAATTGTTGATTATATTATATTCGTTATGGATTTGTCTGTTGGGCTAACAAAATATAAAACAAACAAAATTACTTATACATACTCGAGCGGTTAATGAGTCATATCAAATAAAATTTTAAATATTTGTATTATTTCATTAGTATTCACAAACAAGATTTGTGTTTGTTTGTATTCTTCGAATTCGATTTGTTAAACAATTTCATTTAATTATTAATTTTTAATTAATATATATATATATTTATTTTAAGGAATTTTCATGAACAAAATTTGGATTCATCTGTTAATAAAAACAAATCTATTTATATATATATATTTTTTATTTGGCCACTTTATATTCGCAAATAAGTTAAATCGAGTCGAAACGAGTCGAGTTTACGAACGGTTTAATTCTCATCTAACAGCTCTATATATATTAATACTTTGAAAAGTTTGTGCAATTTTTTTTTTCATATTTTAAAAACTGCTTTGAAACTTTGTTGTACTTTAGAAAATAATATATATAATCTTTTAAAATTTGAGCTAAATTTTTTCATATTTTGAAAAATATTATATAAAATCTTACGAAAGTATATTATTTAAAATGCAAAAAAAAAAAAAAATAAAATAAAATAAAATAAATAAAAATAATGCAAGTACTTCCTCCGTTGGATGACAAACAATTCGTTTTGTTTTTTTTGTTAACTTATCAATTTTAAACATACAAACTTATATAAATTTTATTTAATTTTTAATATTTTACATGTAAGATTAATTCAAAACTTATTGATTTCATTTAAAACTCTTTTTTTAAAAAAAAAAAAAAAAATTATATGAATCATAAATATATATTTTAAGTTATTCGTATTGTATAAAATTTTGTTCTCTTATAATATATTGTCTATATTTTTATTAAGATATAATATTAAAAGTATTTAAATACATATTATAAATATATTTTTAATTATTTATATTAATTTATATTTTAAAATATCAAAAATATAATTCATATAAAAATAATAATAATGTTTGTTTCATGAAATGATTTGAATTGAAAAAATATATATATATTTTTTATGTGTAAGGTTGAAATTTATATAAATAATATAAAATAATTAATGTATATATAGTATGTTTCCTCTGTCCCTTATTTATTTTATCCATTTATTTTTTTCATAAAATTTAAAAAATTTTAGTATTATATTGAGATGTGGTATGAATAAAGTAGAAAAGATTAAAATAAAATAATCTTAATAGTCCTTGTAATATAAAGGTAATGGTATTTCTGTAAATATATTATAAATTGTCAGAATATTTTTAATATTAGTAAAAAATATTATTATTTAAAAAAATAAATATTTTATTACGAGACATACCAAAGTAAAAAAATAAATAAATTATTAAGGGACAAAAATATTAATTTTCGGATAAAATATATCAATTGCTTTTAGAAGCCTACCCGATTGGATGGGACCCACAGAAATGATAGATGGCCAAAATTTTAACCTTCTAAATAAAGCAACTACACAATGCCCAATTCCAACTCCAAACAAACGGGCCATGAAAGTCAATTTTCTGTCTGAATTCATCATTACCGTTGTGTTTGTTATTCAGATTTTTATTTAATTCAAAATTTAATTTCGTTAAATATTTTTTAATATCAAATTAAACACAGATTATTAATTTATTTATTTTTAATAAAAAAATCACAGTAGAAATTAATTATATATTTAAAATACCATATCAATACTTATTTATATCATATGGAATAATTGTTTCGATATACTACATTCATCCGGCTCTGAGGGTTTCATTACTTTTTGTGTGGTGATACTTGAATATAAATTATTATATGAAAACGTAATACAAATTAAGGAAAAATGAAAAAAAAATTGTCTTATAATATTATTATAATGATATTTGTGCAAAGAATTATATAAAAATATAAGGATATTTTTAATGTTAAGTATAATGATGTAAAAGGTAAATGAGACCTTTGGAATTGGACTGAGAGAGTAATTTTTCCATTTTCATCCCCAAATCAAACTTTCAAATCTACAAACAAACAAACCCTACGCCTAAATAGTGTAGGCCAGAAATGTTTGAATCTTGAAATTTGAAAAATATTGAGATTAATAAAATAATAATATTTGATGTTGTATTTTCTCAAAAATAATATATTTAATATGATATTTAAAAGTTTGTTGAAAGGTTAATCTTGCTCAAAAACGACGAATAAAAAACAAAAAAAACATAATAACAACAACAATAAAAATATAATTGATCAGTTTCAATTCAAAGTATTTTTTTACTATTTTTGTTCGTCATACTCAAAAGTATCAATTTATTTTTTAGTAAAATTAAGTACTCCTATACTTATACTAAAATACTCTTAATTTTTATTTAAATTACAAATATAACATTACACGTACAAATACTTTTTTACATAAAGTCAAAGGACAAAAATGTCAAAACTTCTTACAAACTTTTACTGATCAATAAAATACTATTATTTTTTAAACTACTACAAAAACCCCATAGGGCCTCATTCAAATGAGTCCGAGGGAGTATGAAAGATAGTCGAAATAACACAAAGAAAGACGCACACAAAAAAAGTAATTAAATTGCATGAGTTCAACATTGATAAAATAAGGGCAAAATCATAATATAAAGAACATTAAGGGCACATTTGGTATGTAGAATGAAATTGTAGAGAAATGAAAATAGATAATAAAATTGAATTCAATAGAAAATGAGAATTAATTATTTTGTTTGATAAAATAAAAAATTTGGTTGAAAAATATAAAAAAATGCAACTATTTGGATGGATCGGTTAAGAATAAATGATTAATTGGACAAGAGAGAGTTCTAACGAATGATAATCCATGGAAAAAAAAATTTTTGTGACTTTTTTTTTAAAAATAATAAATTAGATACGATATTTTGTAAAAATTAAATTATAATGTAATTTTTTAAAAAAATTGTAAAAATTAATGACTTGAATAACAAAATAAACTTAATGTTTTCTAAATTAAAATAACATAATTTAAAAAATTAAATAATACCAAAAATAAAAAAATTATAATACATATACTGCAATAATATTGAATTCTCTACATTTTCCAGTAGATTTATTTTTCAAAACTCTTGATTTTCTGATTTAACCAAACAAAAAAATGAGACATTTTCATTTCTGTGCTCTTAATCATCTGTACCAAATACATCATAAAAAATCAAACAAAAGATAAATCAAGGATATATATTTTTTTTTGAGTATGGACTACCATTTACAAATTTCCTCCATGAATCATAGATCATCACATAAATCTTGTGTAACTTTCTTCATAAATTATCATCCATAATCAGCTTGAGTTAGGGGAAATTCGTGTCGAACACGTGAGTGTGTGCGCGTGTGTGGGTAAAAAGAAAAAGAACAAAAAAAAAAAGAAAAATCGTAAGTGTCGTAAAGCTTACTTAATCTCCTTTTAATGGCAGTTTGTTTCACATTGGGCTACATGTTTTTTACTTGTCTAGCATTTTTTGGGTCATTTGATGTAATTGAGTATAATTACTAAAAAAAAATAGTATATTTGTAACGTAATTCCGTCACTAAAGATCACGTAGCTAACGTAATTTCATCATTAATTCCGTCTCTAATATCATTAGTGTCGAAAAAAGTGAATTTAATGATAAAAAAATCTCGTTACAAAAATGATATTTACTTATAGTATCTTGGTAGTGCATAGTTACCTTCTCAACTCAAAATATGTAGTCTTTAGCTTCATAGCACAACATCTCCTAATATTTGACTTATCTTAATTAGTTTTTTATGGAATTCGAAATTGGGCTTCTAAACTACTCAGAGCATATTGGTGTTCGTAATGCGGATTAATTGCCAAGAACTCTTCCATTGAGATGGATTCTGGTGTTCGTAATGCGGATTAATTGCCAAGAACTCTTCCATTGAGATGGATTCTTCTTCGACTTTTCGAGACAATCTGTCCAATGAACTTCTTAATTTATTCGTGGGATTCGGCCTTTCGGAAAAGTTGTAACACTCCCTTTTGTCTTTCCTCACACCCCACAAATTTGTGTGTTCATAATTTGAAAATGATGATTTATTAAAACTTATCTTTTTATCAAATATTAATGATTTGTTTCACTGTAGTTTGAAATAAATTCGAAATAGATGTGAATTTTTTTAAATAATATTTTAATTTGATATTTTATGAGAAAAAATAATATATCTTTATTAAAAACGATACAGATTGAACATATTAACTTGAACTTGAAATTATAAAAAAATAACAAACCCTATATTTAATGTTATGATCATTTAAAAATGTTTGATATAAAAAAAATATTTATACTTGCAATAGTACTTTTAAAAACAATCTACGTCGTATCGAACACTTATTTTCAATTTAATTTTTTAAATTTTACTATTTTTATTATAATCCAAAATTCTACAACACCATAAATAAGTGGGCAAATTATCAAAACCCCTTCCAAGATCAAAATTATTTATCACCAACATTGATACAAAATCTTAAAACCAACATGACAAAGCCAAAGAAAATAGGAATACACAATTGGAAATCCAAAAAGAATAGAAAAATAAGAAAACTCCAACAATGGAGTTTCAAGACACAAAAAAAAAAAAAAAAACAAAAAAACAAAAAAACTCTCTCTTCGACCCTCACTTTCAATCACAAATGCATTCCTTCGATGATCCAAAGATAATCATCCATTTGCTGTTACAAAAAGCAGATTTTGTACACCAACACAGCCATTAACCCCAATCTCACAACCCCAAACCTGACAGAACTACCACCGGCGTCAGATGTGTCCGCTGGAGAATCACCGCCGGCCACCGGGCTGCTCACCCCGGTCGATTTCTTCTTCGAATTTTCACCCCCCGCCGTGGGGGCCGGCGCCGGCGCCGGCGAGCCAAACAGGCTCAAAGGAAGCAAAACCTTGTCCACCTGATACACAGCCAGCTGGTTATCAGTGTAGATGGCGTTGGCCAAGGTGGCCTGGTTAACTCCGGTGGAGATGTTCACTTGGTTGCCGGAAGTGGTGACATTCAGAGGGAAAGCTCCGGCGGCGCTGTCGCCGGCCTGAGTTCGAAGAGGGTTGCTGACAGTTTGAAACTGCGACATGGAGAGGAAGGTCGGGAGGATGTGGAATTGGATTAGGGAAACTTTCTGCTGGTCGGAGAGGGAGTTGAGGGTGCCGGAGGGTAGGCCAGAGAAGGCGGCGTCGGTCGGGGCGAAGAGGGTCAGGCCGGCCTGTTTCGAGTTATTGAGCTGAGTGTTGATTTGATCTCCGATTTGTGTGATTTGGAAGAGTCGAATTAGGGTTTTGAATTGCCCGGCCTTGTCAAGGATTTTCGTGATGTTCGTTGGCCCTGACGGCGCCGGAGCCGGAGCTTGGGCTAGGGTTCTTGACATTGTTGATGACAAGAGAATGACTGTGGCTAAGGTTAAAGGGATTCTAAATTGATCCATTTAGGGTTTTCTTGGCTAGGGTTTCTTTAAGGTTTTCTTATTCTTGGCTAGGGCTTTTAAGGGGGATGAAGATAGCAATATGGATGCACAAATATATGTAAATATATATATATATGTTTATATTTTGTACTATCTTGTTAGGTGAAGGGTTATTTGGGATGGGTGTTGGTTGCAATTATTATTATTATTATTATTATTATTATTATAACATGGAACCCGCAGCCGCTGCTCGAGAGTGCGCACGGAATAAATTTTTGGTCGGACCTAATACTCTCTAAACTAGGTCCGATAAGACAAGTCACACTAGGTGAACTTGGATGCGTCAGAGTTTTAATTCATGATTTTACGGTCACAAATTTACTTTCCACGCCACCAGATCATTCGATACGGAACAGGTTGCAATAATTTTGTTGTTATGGGAATTGATTGAGAAGCACTCTTTCACATTCTTTCATGTTCAATTTGGCTAATCATAAAAAGGAATATATATGCATAGTTAAATTTGCTTTGGTCTGCAGGAAAATTCATATCCCTATATGTATATATGATTGCTTAGCTTTTACTTATTAGCTTGTATGTTAGAATTTCCGAATGAACTGAGAGGTCCTGGATCCGGGCTCCCGAGACAATCTTTACCGTATGTTGTAGATCATGGGTGGAGTTCTTCGCCGGTCCCGGAGTCTCTATGGGTTAGTTTGCAGGCCATTGATCTAATGTAGCATGCTTTAGAAGCAAGTTATGCAATCATTTCGTAACTATTTAATTAAATTTAATATATAATGGTTCCCACTTAATAAAATATTGTTATATAAGTTAGGCTTATTTGAATATTTATAGTATTTTTTAAGGACATTTATTTATTTTTTAAGTCTGGATCGGACTTGTCGTAAAAGAAATTTTCTCAAAATCATTTAATTAAATATTATTTTTTTATTTAAAGTAATTACTAAACGAGTTTTTTTTTTTTAAACATTAAAAGGAACACATCTGTTTACTTCCCAGTGAATATATTTGAGATTTATTTATTTTTTAATCGTAGTGTTTTTTAACTTCTTTAAAAATATTATACTTAATCTATATTATCCATATAAAATGTCATATTCATCGATTATTTACCTTAGATATATAAAAAGAAAAAAAAAAGAAAAAGAAAAAATCTTCAAAAGTAAACAATAGTAATAGTTAATGAAATTATAATTCTGTAATATTAATAAAAAAAATTATAAACTTTTTTATTTGTGCTAAAAAAAATTATTTTAAAAAATATTGAAATTTTAGTACAGTATATTAAAAATTTTGGTATGATCTAATAATATATAATTTGATATTTTCAGTATATTTGTATATATAAATAGTTTAATATATTAATACCAAAATTAATATTTTAAATTTTATTATTTATATATGAAATAATATATATAGATATTGTATCAAAATTTTGATACTGTATCAATATATACATTTATTGACTACAAGAAAATTGAAATTTAGCTAAAAAAAATTTTGTAGCAAAATGTGATAATTCATAGCAAAAATATTTTTGCGATGAAACTCATTTCGTCGCCTATACAACATTAGTAAAAATCTTTGGCGACAAATATAACTTTCGTAACAAAAAATAAGTTTTTTTGCAATAAAAATTAAGAATAGAGATATAACTACAAAAATATCGTAGCTAAAACTCTTTTGTTATAAAACTATAATTTATATCAAAAGATTTTTAACAACAAAATATGTATGATTTTTGTAGCAAAATGATTATAGCTATAAAAATAATTTTGTAGCTAAAATTTTTTTGCTATTTTCTAACAAAAAAAACTTTAGCGAAAAAATTAATTTTGTAGTACATAATTAATTTTTAACGATAAAATTATTTTTTGTTGCTAAACAATACGTTTTAACTACAAAAATATTTCGTAGTTAAAAATATTGTAGCTAATTAGATACTTTTTTGTAGTGATCATACCGATTTTTCGGCATATTGAATTTTCGAAAAATAAAATTTAGCCCCCCTTTAATTCTCGTTCTGGTTCCGCTGCGGACTATAGCCATTGAATAAGAAATTATCACCATCCCAAAATTTAGCTCAACCCAAAATTTAGCTCAACCCAAACGCGCAGAAATGCTATCAAGATGAAAGAGACATATTCAAATTATCAATAATGTAAGTCTTTGTATAGGCAGATGAAAGTTCTTTTTTTATTTATTTTTTATTTTTTAATTTTTTAATTTTTTAATTTTTTTTATTTAAAGACTTGCAAATTAAGAAATCTTACAAGATCAAGGAAGATGCTTACAACCATTAAAATGCTAATAATGAGTTTGCATTAGGTGCAAATTTTAGTGTGTCACAACAGTACCAAATTAGTGAAAGAAAATTAATATGAAATTTATATCTAAATTAATGTTACCAAAATTAATAGAAGTTTTACTATGTCTTTTGACAGAAGGTTGAAATTCTAAACCTATATTTGTTATTAGTTTTTAAAATCCCATAATTTTTAAATAGAAGATAAGATTTGAGCACGAGACCTATAGCTTTGATACTATATTAGATTATGTTAAACTTGAGATGTATTTGACATAATTTACATCTCATTTTTTATAATTTTCAATGATTTAGATAAATAACTCTAAAATCTTTGAGTATTCAGTTTTTCATGATCTTTGCATTACTACAAAAGTAATGAAACTACAAAGTAAAATAATAATAATAATAATAATAATAGTTTAAAAAAAAAATCATGAATCCAAGAGCTTGCTCATGTTAACTGTTAGAAATTTTGGGTAAAAATTATGAGATTGTCTTATTAATTATTAAAATAAGTAACCTACATAGACAATAGAAAACCGACTCGATAGACTTATATCTAAGTAATCTAATTTATGGATAAGACCAAATCTAAATAAAAATTTACTAAATTTTAAAATGAATATCTAAAATATCTCAACAATAATAATTCTTTAATGTTTTGTACTGATTTTGATAATCACTTTCACAATTTTATCATATGACATAACTGATTTTGATAATCACTTTCACAATTTTATCATATGACATAAGTCAAGTATTTCCTTGGCCCGCTTTGATTTCTCGAAATTAAACCTTCGTTGATTATTTTTTTATAGAATTCCATCTATCTTGATTTTTTTGTACTTAGAAATGATCATACCATCTTTTGACTTCTATAAATTTCCTCACTCAAAATAAAAATTATGAAGACATTAAACTTCAATTTATCCTTTCTTTATGAATTGGTAACTGTTATCACAATATCTTACCCACTTTATAGAAGACTCAACTACAAAATAAGAGCTTCACCTCATTGTCGAATTCAATATTAACATATGTCAACTACAATGTAATGAATAGATTTTATTGAGGTGTTAGGATACAACCATAGTCTTCGATATCTTAAAGTTTAAGAGTTTCTCAATTCAATAAACTTTATTAGTTGCAAACGACTTTGCTTACATGTCTGTTAAGATCTATAATATTTATTTGTTGATTATTCCGTCTCTGTATGGAACACCGTAGTTTTTTTTTTTATTTATTTAAAACTTCTCATTCGTCTTATTTTATATATTTTAATTTCTTTTCCTAAGATTCGTGAATATCCATCCGATACAAGTAACCATGTACCTACATCTTTTAGAACTTGTTGTCAACTCATCAAATCTATCGATGAAATATTTTTCTTCAATAATGTGATGGCTTTCATTCAACGAGGCTATGATTATAGTAGTTAAAAATAACATCATAAAGAACAAAGAAAAAATAATATGAAAATGGTGAGAATTTAGTTATCGAATTCAATTTAAATTCATTTATGCATGATAGCACCACCAAGCCAATAATTTCTATGTGGTATTTGATAAAAGAATCAATCAATTATAGTAATGTTGTTGGGATGCAAACCCTCGTGCAAATCCAAATCCCACATTGAAATATGTAAATAAAATTTCACACTTTATAAGTTTCAAATGAACTTCATTAGTGATACACGTTTGTCATATATTGTAAAATTTAAATAAAATAAACCTACTTCTGCAATAAAAACACATTGAAATATGTAAATAAAATTTCACACTTTATAAGTTTCAAATGAACTCCATTAGTAATAGACGTTTGTCATATATTGTAAAATTTAAATAAAATAAACCTACTTCTGCAATAAAAATAACGTAGTATAGGGTCGTCTCCTCAAGGAATTAAAAAGGTTTTATTTTTTATTATTTGATTTATAAATATAATTTGGAAGTAGGAAATAAAAATAAAATAACAAACTAAAAACTGTACGACTAAAAGATAAATTCAATAAAAATAAGTTTTCAGTCTATGAATGAAATTGACATTTAGCGGATTTGATCATCGATAAATATTTAATTTTATTAGTTTCTAAATAAATTAGTTATAGTTACCGACACGCGCCTAATAACCAACTCTTCCTTAATTTCTTGACAATTTAGGTACGTCCGTCAACTGCTTTCCTAATTAGACTAGAACCTAGTGACGCCACAAAAAATTTACTAGCCTAACCGCCTTGCGAACTAGAAGAGTCTAATTCAATTTAACAATTAACTATGCGAAATTTTTTAAAATTGATTTTGTGATTTCCTAATGGTATTTGCCAGTTGCTACTTAAACCAAATTAAAATGCAATTACGGACGCCTAATTTAGTTTAGCAATTAATTTTTAATCAAATTGAAATACCTGGCCACAATACCCAACCAAATAAAAAATTATAATTCAAAGAAATCAGAAATCACAAAATAGGAACAAAGAAATCTCATAAATTAAAACAAGTATAATATCCCAAATCCATACCAAGTTGTTTTCCACTCAGTAAACTACTAGCTAATCATAGGAAATAAGAACAAAGAAAAATGAAGCAAAGAGAAACATTCCCTGAGAATAATTTTGGTAGGGATAAAACTCGAAATCTCATTGGAAGAATCTTTCTCCTTCTTGCCTTGCACGGTTTCTCTCTGGAACTTTTCTGCAGGGTGTTCTCCTCGGCAAGTGGCATAAAGTGGCGTCTCTCCATTCTTTTTTTCCTTTAT